ACCTCCCTTCCCAGACTGACGTCAGCAGAAAGTTATTTTCATGAATGGAGGGGGCGGTCACGAGGAATGGTGACGTGAGCGCTTGCGGAAGCAGAGCGTGGAATGTTGGTACATTGTTGTTGTTTTGTAGTTAATTTGGAACGTAGGATCCCCCGCTGCCCGTCCGCTGGACGCTTTACACCGACTGTGTCAGGTTACTTCGTCGCCTGTATTGGAAACCTACTCCGACGGATTTTACGCATTCCGGTCCACAGATATTCGCGTCCACAGAGGTGAGGTTGTTTTTCTATGTTTATTTTTTTCGGGGGGGGGGAAACTTGTTTTGACATTTCTTTTTTTTTTGCTGAAGTTGTCCCGGTGACATATTAGCGCAGACATGGCATATATGTTGGCCACGTATGCGTCCGTCATGTAGGATGAGTTTTTTTGGGTCCCGGTTCTGAAAGTTGGTGTTGACTTTTTGTGGATTGTTTCAGTGGAGTGGACACGTGTAGTGTTGGAGTAACATAACACAATGCCCCCCAAAAGTGTCTGAGAGCTCGGTGAGGTAGGATAGGAAGTGGAGGGAAAAGGCAAAACTAGTATAATAACATGGAACTATTTTTGTTTCTATTTTTATTTTATTTTGTCCTGCCGAATTTCTGCTTGGCAGTTTTAAAAGTGAATTTAAGTGTAAGTAATTGTAACAGTGAGTGAAATATTCTAGGCTATCACTTTAAAACTGTTAATAAAATGTACAAAGTCGATAAGGAGAACAGATAACACATATTATGTAGGCTGTAGAAATCAAATTTTGCCTAGCCAGATTAAAGTTAATTTTCCGGTTATAATGCCACTGAATGTTGTTAAAGTTAATGTTACAATACTAGACGTCCTTATATGTTTATTATTACTGAGCGCTACACAACCATTATTATCAATTATCATGAGATACAAATGATGTCTGTCTGTCGGGGTTTGTTTATTTATAGCCTATTTTCTGTCACTCGAATGAGCTTTTTGGGGAAGGTGGAAGTGAAATAAACTCTGTGATTGTCCCGTTTAAACAAATTCCTACAAGACATTTTCACATCCCCTTTAACCCTGGCCCTCTTTTGCATTTCAACGCGGGATTTAATAAAGGCTGCTATAATGCAAATACCAGCCTGCTTTGACATTGGAAACAACACGTGGTCTGCATTTTAGACATGTGGGACAAAGGGCACGATGAGAAGTTGGACCACCAGGGCTGACTGGCCTACACAGGAGAAACAAACAGTCACTAAACAGCAGGAGGAGAGCATATTTCCACAACCCATAAATCACTCTGGAAGAAGAAAGGCCTTTTATCTTATCTTTCTGATTAGCTTTCATTTCTGGGCCACATAAATCTTTAGGACCTGGGCAAAGATAAGGAAACGGTGTCCTGAAAGTACAGTTAGATTAGTTTTTATAATTAGAATAATAACACAATTTACCTGAGAAATAATACCCGCTCGTCTGTCTCCTGTGTCCACATTTTAGTTTGTCCTTTGTCTGTTATTGATTAACTTGGACTCGTGACCTTTTAAGGCCATTGTGATTAATATATGGAAAATATTTGTCTTGTTCCACTTTGATGGTCACAGATTTGTGCCGAGAGGCTTTTCTGATTCACTGTTGTTTCTGGTGGGTGCACAGTGTCTGCTGCTTTCAGAGAGGCAGTGGGAGCGGGTGCACTCTTCTGTCATGAGGTTAACATGTGGTTCAATCACCAAAGTGATGATGTCTTCCCCCGGATAGAGAAGTATCAGCGGCTGACTCATCTCACCACTGCAGCAGCCTGTGACCGTGACAAGGCACATTGGGAGAAATTCCCCAGAAAAACACAGGAGAGAGTTTAATTATCACCAGACATGAACGATTTCTCATTTCACTGGTCAGTGCTGATGGATGAAAGCGACACAGAATGCAAAATGTTTTTGTGGTGAAGTATTGTGAAAGTAAAATAGCTGTGGTCGGTGAAGCGATGACTCACGTTCGCTATGATGTGTTTTGCTCAAGTTTTGATTATTGACTCTGGAAGCAAGTGATTTTATCCACAGCTGAACATGCCAAGCAGAGTGCATACAGGCAATAACAGATGAATGTGTGAACAGGCCTGTGGTGCCTCCGTCTAAAGTGACTCCCTGACAGTTACATAGTGTCTGAGGCCACCCACAGTGATTTGTATCCTGCCTTTTGCTGCTTATTTGCCAGTTTCAACCAGCTGCGTTCACCTCATTATGGTCAGAGGTGTGGCAAGTTTACTCATTTATTTATTTTGTGGGATTGTGTTATTGGGAATTCCTTATTGCTTTTTCAGTGGGGCTGACTTGCTGATTTAAGTGCTGATATCTTTCCTTGGCAACTTCCTGATTCCACCGTGACTCAAATTGCATGTTCGCACCAACACAAACACACACTTTGAAGCTTCACAGCATTCAAAATGTATGTTTTGCTGTCAGATCTTGTCTAGCCTCGGGCCTCAGCTCGCTGTTTTGAAGGAGAAGCACTGAAATATGGAAAGCACTGTATTATTAACTGTTATTATTATGAACAGTACTTTCAACTAGAGAGCCTTGCCTTGTTTTCATATATCTTGTTGGCAAATGGGAGATGTGATGTAATGTATGCTTTTGTGGGAAACAGAATATTAATATTTATCTTATCATTCACACTTTATTGACTCCCAGCTATAGAAAGTGGGACAGGTGGTCCCTTGTCCTTTTTTGCATTCTTCACATTTCTTAGAATCCCAGTGTCCACGGTTGGGAGAATATCTTTGCTCAGATATTCTGCGAGTTCTCCTCCTTTTCCGCACAAAGGTTCCGGTGGTCATGCCAACCATTTCCAAGGTTCTCTTTACTTTTCCTTCCTCCCCGTGAAACAACGGGATTTTCCAGGAAACGTCAGATCGGGAGGGTGTGATTCCCTGCCGCTGGTCGTCGCTTTTACCAGTAAACAGCATGACTCACCGCTCAGCTATGCTCTCCATTTCCTTCACATAATATCCCACCAAATGTGCTGCGCTGGAGAAAGAGCAGAGTGCCGCGCGCACCAGTCTGTGAAGAAATCTCTCCACCTCCCTGAGAAAAATGCAAGAAAAGCAAGACCTTTCTCATAGCAGCGTTTCAGGCTGTCAAGGGCAGCAACAAGTCCGCTTTCTGCTTTACCTACTCCCAAATTGAAACAAAAAGAGAAGAAAAACAAAGAGTCCAGACAAGCCAACTCTGCATTTATCACTGGAGCATAAGGATGAAGTCTTTGATATGCTGTTTATTTTAGGAGAAGGCTGGGCCCCACAGTTACCTGCTGTAACCGAAGTGCAGCCTTGAACTTGACCAGACGCCTGACTTTAAAAACATAAACATTTAGCATTAGTGAGCAAATGACACACAGGTCTATTTAACTGACTTTGTCTCAAACATAGAGTTCATATAGAGCTAAAGCATTAGGGCTGTTGAAAGGCTGATTATGTGCCCGTGTGAAAATTAATCTTCATGTTTTTTTTTTGTTTTTTAGGCATTCTTAAAAATAGTCTTGAAAGGCTCAGCTCATCTTCAAAGCAGTGTGTACATGCAAAGAACAAAGTAGCAGGTTTACCAGAGAACATTCTGCTTTCCACATCAAATAAGACGCTGAAAAACAACCACAGACATGAAATGTGTGAATGGAATT